CCCCCCCCGGCCCCCCCCCCCCCCCTCCCCGGGCCTGAATATGCCTTTGACTTCACTGATGAGGCTCTCTCTTCGGTCGCCGGCGCCTTTGACCTAGCTGATTAGGGCGTCTTCTCCTCCGAGTCCCGAGAGACACTCGAGCTGAAACTTCCCGGGAAATCGCAAGTTCGATCACCTGAGATATAATTTCCCGGGTCAATATCAATTTTTTTTTGTTGCAGTCTCTGATGTCTCTTCGCTCGGGATTCCGATTTTCGTTAGGCACAAAAAACTCGGCCGCTGGATTTTTAAAATTTTAGATTATATACATATATATATATTTTTATTTATTTAAGGTAACTATTGAAGACTCTTTGCGCACGAACGTGGAGGCGTTCGTGCCTGTCGTTCCTTTCTTCATTTTCTCAAAGGGACAGGCCATCACAAAGGCCGTCCCGTTCCACCCATTTTTTTTGTTTTTGCACCATCTGTTCGTGGCAGATTCGGAACACCACTCTCTCTCTCTCTCTCTCGAGTCGCATTTTCGAACATTGCATGGTCAGGAACTCTCGTCAGAAATTGCAGCGGATTTGGCAGAGTCAATTTCGCTCATTCGCTTTTCCCCATCGGTTTGCTCCTTTTTGTAGGATCGCTTTCTTGCTATAATCGAATCATGAGGTAATATATTTGGTAATATTTTATTCTCATGTTTTAATGGTTTTTAGGTACTATACAGCAGATATCCCCTCTGTGGGGGATTGCATGACAAAACAAGTCATATGACAAGCCAACTCATATAAAAGAAATAACACAACATTTTTTTTAAATTCAAACTTGAAGATCTGAAAAAAGTTATGTAAGGATGGGTTTAAGTTGGTTTAGTTTTAAAAAAGACGAGAATTTCCTCAGAATACTTGCTTGAAATTTCATGGAATGAATCGACTCTTTGAAGGTGCTCAGAAATTAATTTTAAAATTATTTATACTTTTTTTTTTGGCTTAGAGAAATCCCTTGAATGATATCCCTTTACGAAAAATCGGTTTTAGGACCAAAGGTTTTTTTTTTTTTTACAAACTCCTTGATCAGCATGTTGACAGTGAGATCTGAGGTCGATGATGATGCGTTGGACGTTGATCATCAACAACTTCTTCCTCGGCGTTGACGAAGAATCGTCGAGAATCGTTTTGCCCCTGATGAACTGCTTCAGGGGCTTCCATAAAAGTTAAGCTAGAGTGTGAAGCAGTCGCCACTCTGGCCTTAGGACCATAAATTGCTTCTATTGGCCTGACGACTGTGAGAAGGCCTGGCAACACTGTCGAACGAGATCTTCGATCGTCGGCTTCAAAAAGGCTTGTTTTATTCCCACAAGATGCATGTTGCCAAACGAGCTCTTCCTAGGAGCAACATCTGGTGGCACGTACACGCGCCTTTCCATTCCTCAAATAACGAGAAGAATACTTAAAAAGGAAGGCTCCATTGCTCTGTTCATTGAAGGAGGAATTTAGACAAAGGCTTTTTTAAATTTTTGCATGTACCCGTGCCGTCGAATCCGAAGAGGTAAACCGACGATCTTTTTTATCGCGAGGACTTGGTATCTCACCACAGAGCCGCGAACCTCCATGCCTCTCTCGTCTTCTCCCCCGAGCCCTCCCCGCCCCCTCCCCCGAGCCCCATTCAGCTTGTTCCCTTAATTAAGGGAAAGGGATGCATCGCTCTGCCCTCCTTTCCGAGTCTTCGCATGCGGGCCTCCGTCTGGCGGCCGACTTGCATCGACCGGCGATTCCGTTCCGGATTCATCCGGAATTCAAAAGACGCTTCTATTTCGCGCCCTCATCCGGCAATAACAGGCTTGTCACCCGCACGCTTTCATTCCATTGATTAATAATCAATCTGCTAAGGAACTGGCATCTGAGGACCTTCCGCCCTGATTGCCTTCATGTTGAGAAGAAAAATTATGCCGCTGCAAAAAAATATGCCATTTAAAAAAATTATGCCACTCAGAAAAAATTATGCCACTTATATTCGTTACCGGGCGCCCTCGTCCATAATGGTTTTTCTTGTCTCTCTCCCTGTTGGAGGGTTTCGCCGGTAAGCTAGATTTTCGTTCCCTTCTAGATTCCCATGCATTTTTCATTCCGCTGCTTTAATATTTCATTGCCTTTTCTTTCTCCGCTTGCCATTGATCTTGGAATCGCGAGTATGCAGCTGGTTTTCAAAATGGTGACGAAAATAATTTATTTATTAATTTTTTTTTTAAGTTTTCGATGCGATGAAATTCTGTGGGTCGAAATCCGGAATATTCGGTTTCATCGTCGCCTTGACATCATTTTCGCATTTAATATTCATAGAAAGTCGCCTATTTAATATTTATGAATGCCGTACACTTTGCATACTGCACCGGCATAAATCAGGCGCTGCTACATTTTTTGATAATATGGCGTCGCCTTGGAAGATCCCGTGGCAAAGGGCGATTGCCCTTGACATGATTCCGTGGCAGAGGGCTCTCGAGGGGAATCCCGACATTAAAACGCCAGATGCAATCGGCCGAGTCGGTTGACACAAGACGAAAAGCAGTTTTTTTTTTTAAGTACGCAGAGATAAATTACTGATAATGTTATTTTTTCGCGCTTCCGTCATATCCGAGTAAAAAAAAATTGTCGTCGCGGCTCATTTCCGACGATGAGGCTCATAACGCCTGGATTCCATTAAACTCGCTGAAAAGCGCTCGCGACAGTGATGCATGATATGATGAGAGCGAAGCCCCCTCTGAAGCAGCCTTTCAAGGTCCTCTTTGGTCCTTGGCAACCGTCAAGGAGTCGTGATTTCGTGACGATGCAGATGTAATTTTTCCCCGCCAAAATTCATTTCTCCACGGGATATGGCAGGAAGCATTCGAAATGATGAAATATCGAAGAAAATATGCGCCTGGAACTAATTATCGGAGTCCTTGAAATGTTAGCAATAAAATTGGCATTTGCAAAACAACTGACGTTTTGCAGTCACATTTCTAAGACGATATTGATCTGACTAACAGCATATCCTCAAATGAAATATAACCAAGAAATAACTTAGAAGCTAAAAAAAAAAAATTGATCTTCATTCTCATTCTCAGAACTTTCATTACTCGAAATTTCTTCGTATTGTGGAATTGGCAAACTTTGGATCTGAAGAGCACAAGAGCCTGTTCATGAGGTCTCTGTTGGCGTCCGTGCGACTGATTTTTCAAGCAAAATCGCTCCTGCATGACTTAAAGTGCTTGTTGCGAGACTCCTGTGCCTCTTCAGACGTGCTTCCAATTGGCAGCAGCATGCTTCCAATTGGCATGCTTTTAATGACAATCTCCTCCACGAATCAAAACTTTGTGGACCGATGGTATGTCCAGCATATTTTCTGATGATATTACCGCTAATAATGTGTGGCATCTCTCCAGCAAGACCAAGGGAAACTTCCAATATTTTCTGAGGAAATCTTCGACTGATGCTGAAAGAATCTTCTTGCAGTATTGCCATCAGCTTTTCGCTTGATTCCGTAGCCTGCCACTTTTGGAACTTCAGTCTGTAAGCCAAATGAAGGAGACATTCCATGAAACGAGACTTGAAAGTCCGAAGTTCAAAGAGCTTTTATTGGTGGGCAGTCGGGCCACATAATGCACGATGTGGCCACATAATGCAAGATGTGGCCACATATCTCATG